GATCCACTGGAATCCTATGTCATGAGGAGGAATTCAGGAACTCAGATTTACGCCCTGGAACCACCTGGAATGAAGAAAAACCCATTGAAGGCACAGGGTTTGGGTCTGAGACTCCAGCCTTAGGAAAGAAGGAAAGCACCAAAGAATCAGACTGTGGGTGTGGGCTGCTGGTTCTCGCAGTGCTGACCCGTTGAAGATACAGAAGATGACCTCCTAAATCCTAAATTCTTGGCTCAAGACCCAGATCAAAAACTGGCGACTACTATGCTAAAATACCTCTTAATTCTTGCAGCCACAGTGCTGAGATAGCCAAAAATGAAACTCAAAATTTGAGCTTGCAGAATGGCAAGTGACGTCATTAGCTGATGCCATGGCCTCACCAGCTCCTCTCTGTGGGAGTGAGATTGTTGATTATGAAAGCGTGAGCTCAGCATTTGCATGGAGCCATGTGGGAGGGTTTGGGGGTGATGCTGAGCTCCCTGAACCCCCAACCCCCACCCAGGCCCCTTGCAGGCTAAAACATCCTCTTCTCACTATCTGATGAGGCTGGTCCTGCATTAACAGGGCCCCTGAAATGACCCCCCCATACCCCACCACCCCTCCGTGTCTTCAGACAACAGCAGGGTCCCCAGATGGTCATTGGGATGGGACAAGAGTGACTATCAATCCCATACCAAAATCTGGGCAAAACTTTGATATTTTATATCACCAAAAATGTGGAGATAATGTATAAAAGGATCCATTGAATGGAACTTATTATTAACATGGCTGTACCGACCGACAGTTCTGGATTCGGGGTGCCGGCCTCATAGCTGGGGGTGGCTCTCATTGTTTCTGGGGCTGGTTTGTTGGTTGGCAGGGGTGCTGAAACCCACAGCAGTGGCTCATGCTCACTGAGGCGGAGACGACGGAAATGCCAAGGTATAATGTGGAGACAGAGTGGATTAACCACGAGTGACCACTGCACCCAACCACGACCCCTGCGAGAGCCCCAATTACCATTGTCCCTTCACCAAGATGGCATGAACCACCTTGTTGAGACAGCCCAACAGCCTTCCAAAGGACCTCAGTGTAAGGTGGGGAGCCCTACCAGAGGCCTGACGCCTGATGTCTGGGGTGGAAACCAAGACCCTGGGAGGGCTGAGGCCCCATGACAGCAGACTGCCAGGAGCAGGGTGGGCACGCTCCCATAACAGCAGCAGCAGCAGGTGGCCATCCCAGTGGTTGACCAGCAGGGATTGGTGGAGCTAATGGATCACAAGGTCCCCAGGGTAAAAATGGATCAGTGACCCACAAGGACCTGTGGCTTTTATAACCAGAAAGGTCTGGTAAACAGAGGTGTGACTTGAGCCCCCGGATGGAGACTCTGGTCCCTCCCCAGCCCCAGACCCGAGTCAGTTCACAGACCCAAAGTTCCTAAATGAGGAAAGAACCTGGTGTTCTGTTCTGAGTCTGTCCCATGAATCCCCAAGGGGACTGTGGCCATTTACGGGAGAACTGTGCCATGAGGCGTAGGGGGGAGGGGTTTGAACCTCCCTGAGTCCTTGTTTCCTCATCTGTAACAGGGAGACAATAATATCTGCCTGAAAGGATTGCTGGGTTAATTGAGTAGAATAATGGGAGAGTGCCTGGAATATAAATGCATGCATCGGCTGCAGCTGAACTTTTAATCTCTCTGTGATTTTGTGTTCACTCTTTCATTTATTTCCATCTTCACCCCACTGTACTGTGATCAGCCATCTGCTGGGTGCTGAGAGTTAAAAGAAATAACCCTTACCATTGACCGAGGGTGCAGTATGTGCCAGGAGCAGTGGCTGGCCTTCACGTCTCTAACCTAAGCAACTGCTCTGCCAGGTCATGAAGTGGGAGGTAACAGTGCTGGGATAAAAACCTTGTCATGTGCTGTTGCTAAACTTGTGTCCTCTCCAATGTGGTACTGTGCTCCTCAGAAGTTAATAAAATGAGGTGACAAGTACAGAGCTTGGGACATGGTAAAAGTGATATACAGGGAGACGATGAAGGAGATGGATGGATGGATGGATGGAGACATGGAAGGAGATGATGGCTGAATAGACTTAGAAGATAAATTCAACATGACACCAACCCTTGAGGACCTTCAAATCCAGAAAGACACAGTGCTAAGCATGGAGCTAGCCGAGAAGCTGAGATGTTTGTAGTTAGTGACATAGTGACACCCTCAGAGTCTGCAGATGTCCAGCCACATCATAGTGTGTGTGATGAATACCATCCAGGCAAGCTGTGAGTTGGAACAGACATACTTGATTCCTCCAATAACAAACTTTTATGTTCATTCATTGAACAGGCATTTATTGAGCACCTACTATGTACCAGGCACTGTTCTAGGCTCTGGGAACAGAGTTGTGAACAAAATAACTCCATGTGGCGCTTCCATGGAGGAGACAAAGAAAGGTGTACATGTGGGGTGAGCCTGATGAAGATAAACACCATGGAGGCAAATAAAGCAGGGTATAAAAAGGGGGCTTTGGGGTAGGGACTGCTCTTTTGGAAAAGTTGGAGAGGGCAGGCCCCCCTGGTAGGTTGACACTTGCATGGAGGGCTGAAGGAAAGGGAGAGACCAGACAGGCCAAGATGTAGAAAGAACAGTGACGTTCCTAGGATCACACAGTAACTAGGCAGCTGAATTAGGGCTATAACCCAGGTTTTATACAGGTGTTGGTGTCCTGGGGTCCCCCCAATATAGCAGAAACACACCAGATATGGTGTTAGCGGAGGAGGAGGTTGTCAGAATCTGGCCAGTCAGGAACTGCGTGATCTTAATCTCTCTAAGCCTGTCTGCTATCATTTCACCGTTCACTTCCTTAAAACAGTCTTGGAACTTCGTTCCTTTAAACAATCTTGCAAGTATTAAGGATTCACAGATGTTTTATAAGCGGTAGACGTTCACTATTTTGTTATTTTACAGAGGCAGCAAATTCTAAGCCTCTAAAGAGGGCTACAGCACTGCTCTTGCGGAGGGAGGAAGGCAGCTGGCTGGGACAGAGAAGCCTCCTCAGGGAAAATGGAGTCGGAGTGGGCCGGGAATAGAGGACAAGCATTCATAGCGTGATGCTGAATGCCCAAGGATTGTGGAAGATAAACCGACCAGCCTCATGGCCGTATTCTATTATCTTCTTCCCAGAGAGAAGGGGGCTAGCTATTAGGATTAGGTTCTGTTACAAAGGACAGAAAACCCAAGGGAAGAGTAGCTCAAACAGAAATAAACTTCTGTCTTTCTTATACAGAAAGTCCTGAGCTAGGCAGCCAGATGTCAGGGACCCTGCCGCTTCCATCTTGCTCCACTTTTCTTAGCATTTAACTTTCACCTCAGGCTCAAGATGGCTGCTTGAGTGCCAGACATCATATCTGTATTACAGCCAGCAGGGCAGCGAAAGGGATGAAGAATGGAATGCCTTCTCCCCAGCAAAGGGGTTTCTAGAAGAATACTGTTTTAGCTGGAAGGCCC